AAGAAGGAAGCCCCTGCCCCTCCCAAAACTGAAGCCAAAGCAAAGGCATTAAAGGCCAAGAAGGCAGTCCTGAAGGGCGTCCACAGCAAAAAAAAAAAAAAAAAAAAAGATCTGCAAATCACCCACCTTCCGGTGGTCTAAGACACTGAGACTCCGAAGACAACCCAAATACCCCCAGAAGAACGCCCCCAGGAGAAACAAGCTTGACCACGATGCCATCATCAAATTTCCCCAGACAACTGAGTCAGCCATGAAGAAGATAGAGGATAACAACACACTTGTGTTCATTGTAGATGTCAAGGCCAACAAGCACCAAACAAGCTGTGAAGAAGCTCTATGACATTGAAGTGTCTAAGATCAACACTTGGATTAGGCCTGATGGAGAGAAAAAGGCCTATGTTGAACTTGCTCCTGACTATGATGCTTTGGATGTTACCAACAAAATTGGGATCATCTAAATTGCGTCCAGCTGGCTAATCCTAAATACAAATTTTTCTCACCAAAAAAAAAAAATCTAACTTGTATATCCCTCCCAATAACTGATCCATAATGCCAACATTTACTTTGCCTCAAAGCTGTTTAGAAGAGTAATAAAATATTATTATAGATTAGTTGATAATGAATCAAGTAATACATAGACACATAAAATAAAGGAAACCATCATCAGGTTAAAATTTCCAATCAGGTCAACATTTCAGGACTGAGATGTCTTAAGACAAATGATTCTTTTCCTTCATTTTTTTTAGCATTATGTATCAAATGAGTCTTTTAAACAAAATAAACATATGGCTGTCTCTTAAAATTTTATTCTTTGAAACACATACTTATATAGTTTATCTGCTAGAGGGGGAAAAGCAGAAAGCTTTCTTTTTCAAACCTTTGAAGAATCACATACCATAAGAGTCATAGGGATCGATGTTGGGGTTAGTAGTATTCCAGCCCTGGATGAGTCCATCGGTACCTCCACTGTAACACTGCTCACCATTACTACTCATTACCACACACAACACCGGACCTCTGAGAGATAATAATCAATTTCTGAGAATATGACTTGTTAAAAGTAAGAATGCATAAACATTCAAATGACTTTCTACTTTTCCTGGTCTTTATGCTGAATAAAAGGAGTCATTGGGCGGTGCACACAGTTAAGTGTTCGACTACCAACTAAAAGATTAGTACCATCAAGGCATTGTTCATCTGTCTTCCTCTGGGAAATTGATGATTTGCTGAATACCATCGAATCAGAGGCAACAAATAGCTGACCCTCCAGTGGGTTTTCAGAGGTGGTAATCACACAGGAGGAGACTGTCCATCATTCTCCTCAAGATGCAGCTGGTGGAGTCACACTATGGACAACCAGGTTAGCAGCACACCGCCTTACCTCTATGCTACCAAGCAATGCAGGCCAAATCCAGGCTGTGGGAGGTACTGGTAGAGACTTCCAGAATGGCTTTCACATATTTTTAAAGGTTTAAAGCAAAACAAAAATGCAATACAAAGGATAAAATGTGCTTGAGCTGCATAATTCATCGTGTGCTGTACTGCTAAAACACTGGCAGCAGCTCTCTGGAGGTTCAAAGCCACCCTACGCTCCGCAGAAGGGTGAGAAATCTCCTCTGTGTGATTTAGTGCCTCGAAAAACTCACTGAGGCTCAAGTACAAGTCAGTTCCAGTTCAAAGGCAATGAGCTGTGTGGTCTTTTGTAAACTCTACTTTTATGGACAAATATGCCAACATCTGTGTTAATAAATCAAATGGATGCATTTCTTTTTTATTTTTATTATTTTGTGTGTGTATACCATCAAATCAGATCTGACTGGTACAGGAGGAGATTTTTCCTCCTTCTCCAGCAGAGCATCTGGTGGATTCGAACCGCGTACTTCTAGGATTGCAGTGCAGCTTCTTGCCTAGCCACCAGAGCTCGCCATGGATGCATTTCTTAAGTGGTCACAGAAACAAGAAAAGCACACACCATCAGATTTTTTTTAAAAAAAAAAAGAATTTTTTTTTTTTTTAGGATATAAGGTAGGGGAATGTTTCACCTATTTCAAACCTAATTATTTCAGTTTTATGTTAAAGAGGTACATGTCATTTAAACATCTTGCAAATAAAATTTAATTTCATCAAGAATCCCTATGTGATAGTAATATGTAACTAGTATTATATCTCTATCAGTTTCTTTTATAAAAAAACACTAAGTACAAATAATACATAGAATAAATAAATAAACAAAAGAACAAGAACATACTTACTTATGTGCCCTGAAAGTATAGATAGGTTCTACATCGAGAGAAGTACTCCTAAATCAGAGAGAGATGAGAAATGTAAATCTCAGTAGTGAATGGTCAATACCACAAAATAAATTATAGAAATATAAACATTATGCTAACATATCATTCTGGATTACAGAATGTATAAGAAAACTACCTATCACAAACCACATTATTACAGCTTAAAAAACAAGATTTTTACTTAGTAATAACATCTTTTTTCTAGTACTTTTAAACCCCATCATAACTAATGGGAGAGAATCTCACTCAGGGAAATAGGCTGTGAAGGAGAAAATTCTGAGTTCAATTCCCAGTTCTGTCTCTCACTTGCTCAGTTTAATCAATTTATTTTAATCTTTCAGAATTTCAGATTCCTCTAAGTTTAAAACAAAACAAAACATAAAAATATGGATAACACATTTACAACAGCCAGCCACAAATTAAGATACTTGGGAGTGAACCTAACTAGAGATATAAGAGACCTAATACAAAGAAAACTATAGAGCATTTCTGAAAAACACAATAAAAGACCTAAAGAAATTAAAAACTCTGCCTTATTCATGGATAAGAAGACTCAATATGGTGAAAATGACAGTCCTACCAAAAGCAATCTACATGTTCAATGCAATCCCAATCCACATACCAAATTCATTTTTCAAGGAGATTAAAAGGGAAATTATCAAATTTATTTGCAGAGACAAGAGACCCCAAATAAGAAAAACACTTCTGAGAAACAAAAATTAGGCTGGAGGCATAGCACCCCCTGATCTCAAAACCTATTATACAGCAGTGGTAACCAAAACAGCATGGTACTGGTACAATGACAGGCACATCTACCAATGGAACAGAATTGAGAACCCAGATAGACCCAGACATCTACAGTCAACTGATATTCGACAAGGAAATCAAAGCTATCAAATGGGGAAATGACAACCTCTTCAACAAATGGTGCTGGCAAAACTGGACTTCCACCTACAGAAAGGTGAAATAGGATCCACATCTCATACCATACACAAAAATCAACTCAAGGTGGATCAGAAACCAGGGAGTAAAGCCCAAAACCATAACTTTCTTAAGAGACAAACTGGGATCAAGCCTAGAAGCACTAGTCCAAGGTATAAAGAGACTGACAAATATAACCAGAAATACACAATCTAATGAGGATAAAATTGATGCATGGGACCTTCTAAAGATGAAATCGCTATCCAAATCAAAAACTTCTTCCAGTAGGGTGAAAAGAAAATCTACAGACTAGGAACAAATATTTGGTAATACCATTTCAGACAAGAGTCTTACAACAAAAGTTTACAGAATACTCCTGGGCCTCTACAAGAAAAAGACTGATAACACAATTACAAAATGGGCAAAAGACATGGGAAGAATTTTCACAGAGGAAGATATCTGAATGGCAAACAGACACATCAAGAAATGCTCCAAATCACTCGCAATAAGAGAGATGCAAATCAAAATCACAATGAGGTACCATCTCATTCCAGTAAGAGTGGCGAAGTTTAACAGGGCAGCAAGTAGTAGATGTTTGAGAGGATATGGTGAGAAAAGAACTCATCCATTTTTCGTGAGATTGTAAAATGGTACAATCATTCTGGAAAGCAGTTTGACACTTCCTTAAAAAGCTGAACACAGAAATTCCATATGAACCAGCTATTCCACTACTTGGAATAGACCTGAAAAAAAAAATGAAAGCTGAGGCACAAACTGATATTTGTACACTAATGTTCATAGCAGCATTATTCACCATCACAAGAACATGGAAACAGCCCAAATGTCCAATAAATGGATTGAGAAGTTATGGTATACTATGCTGCATGCAGGAGCAATAACTTTGTAAATTATTACATAACCTGGAAGGGACTGCAGAGCATTATGCTGAATGAACTCAGTCCTACAAGGATAAGTTTAAGACCATTATTGTAGAATGAGTATAAGGATCAAGGAGGGTTGGGAGAGGCTGGAAGCAAAGGGATGTGGAGAACAGGGGA